AATATATAAGTAAAATACAAAATGAAAAATATAAAAAATTTTTAAAATAATTGGTTTTATTTTTAATAAATAAATTGGGATAAAATATAAAAATATGAACTATGAAGTGTAACTTAAAATCTGAATAATATAGATTTTTGTTTATATTCAATAATTCATGAAAATTAATAAATAATAATCTACATATTTTTGTTAATATGAATATATTTTTAACATAAGTGACTTATTATAAATTTGTATTTATTATTTCAATAATATATATATGAGAAATGTTTAGTCAACCTTAAATTCTTTAATGTGTGATTTTAATGATTTGTTCTTCTCGTGTTTTATGTTTTCTCTGATTTATTTATATTTGTTTTCAGCCAAGCAGACTTTATTGTCAGCCGACAATTATGTTGTAAGCCGAAATTCTGGAAATTTCTTTTCAAATGTTTTCCAAAGCTTTCCCACCGCCTACAAATGGGCTGGAAATTCGTTGGCAACGCATTCTCCACTCTCAAATCCCCAAGTTTATGCAGCTTCAGCGTGTCTGCTTGGCTACGTATCCATACGAGATTTGAGCTGTAATATTCATGCTGCATTTAGGCATTGCCCATTAGGCATTACGCATTAGGCATTAAGCATTAGGCATTAGGCATTAGCCGATGCGCCCCATCATTTTGGCGCTTAGCCGCGCGCGAGAATTATAGAAATGCTGTTCGCTTTGCTGGTAGTCGGCAAATTTACGAGTTGCTACCGCGTGCCCATTTATGTCATATAGGCGAACAACTAGCAACAATCTTTCAGACACAGCCCCCCTCGCCCCTCGCCACTGCCGGCAGCAAAGCTTAAAATATTGCATATGAATGTTGCATGCAACGGCAGCAACAAACATTAACGAGCAACAGCAGCAACAGCAGCAGCAACATCGTCGCTGTCTCCGTCGACGTCAGCTGAGGCAGCAGCAACATCGTCGTCGTCGCTGTCGTCGTCGTCGTCGTCCTCTGCTGGCAACATTACAGTTTGAATGCTATTATTATGCCATTTTTAATGCCTTTTACATTCACGCGCGCAACAAGCGGCTGGCGTTGACTGCGCTGCCGCTGCCACTGCCGCTGCCGGCGTCGCTGACTTTGTGGGCCACGTTTTTATGCTCTGCTTCGCTTAGCAAATGCCTTTTCGCTTCTTCTTCTTCTGCTACTGCTATGCCCTGTAGTCGAGGCAGCGCTGGGTATATTTTTGCTAGTAAGCAGAGCTTGAACTTGGAATCTGCAGAATCTGATGGAAATGCTTCTGGGTTTTTGCTTTATGCAGGGGTATTAAATAATTGAAATAATGAAATAATGGTGGAGCCCAGCTTATTGTTGTTCTGTATTTTCTTTAATAACTTTTGATAGCTTAAACATTTGATGATTTTCGCTATATACTATTCGCTATTCCTATTGCTGTAACATATAAATATTTTAGCATTTTAAACAAAATTTCTGGAAATCTTATAGCTAAAGTATGTGTAAAAAAAAAAAAAAAAAATAATAATACTTTTAATTTA